CTTAGCCCTCAACAGGAGCATGGGAAGTTTAAGAAGATGAGACTGGCACCACCCTAAGGAATTCATGGTATTATGGCTTGCTGGCTTTGGAACTTTGGGTCCGTTTTGAGGAATTTCTGTCTTGAGGGTGTAGCTAATAAACGCAACAGAACTGTATTTGCATTGTCTCTTGGAGTTCTTTGGGCTGAACCTGACAACATCCTAAGGAACCAGTAGACTCAACTGGGTGCAATGGACCTTCCTACACTCATTATCCTTAACCAACTACCACACCAACATAACCTGTGACTTCTCTTTTCCAGGACATTTTGATCAGATCACCTCACGGACACCGTTTTGTTGATGTAGTAAAGACAGATCAGAGGGCCATGGATGTGAAAGATAGGAAGCCGTACCGTTCTTTGACCAAACGCTGCAATCCTGAACACCGCTATACCAGTTCCTCAGCAGAGAGCGAGGACGGCAAAATCCCACAGAAGTCCTACAGTTCCAGTGAGACTCTGAAAGCTTATGATCAGGATTCCAGGATGATCTATGGCAACCGGGTTAAAGAAATGGTGCCACAGGAAGCAGACGAATACTGTCAGACAGGTAGGTAAGGGTTATCCCAACACCAGATTGAGTAAGAAGCCTTGGGCATCAAAGTGACCAACAGGCCGTGGCTTGTTTCCCTCAGTTGATAGAACAAACCACAATTGAGAAGGTGCCCGTACTGAGCCATCAACCATCATTTACAAGCCATAACAGGTAAGGTTCATGCCACACACTTACCTGAAACCAAGTGTGCTGGGGGAACCAGTGTAAAGGTGGATTCACAATCTTTTTGCCTAGCTTTTCCTTGGAAGTAATAATTCTCATTTTACACTTGAGGAACTGAGACTGAAGTTGAAACAAGGGTGATTGGCACCGAGGGAGCAGGAATATGGATGTGGGTTAGCAGAACCTTTGACAGGAAGAGAGATTCCTGTAAAAAGTTGAAATCTCTTTTAAGTCCAGCTCATGTCCGAGTGACATATCCATCCATTTTCTTGGCAAGAAACACACATCACCCCAGATCTCAAGAAAACCACATGAAACTACCTACTGTTATGAGTTGAGTTCAACCCAGAAAGATATTATTTTAACCCAGTGTTTCTCAAACATGGGAACTTTAAGATGTGTGGACTTCCACTCCCAGAATTGGGGGTT